ATTTGTATTGTTCCCAGTTTGTGGCTATTATAAATCATGTTGTTATTGACATTCGTGTATAAGTCTTTGTGTGGCATATGTTTTTATTTCTCTTGGGAAGATTCTGAGGATGGAATTGCTGGGTTATTTGGCAAGTGTATGTTAAACATTTTAAGAAACTGCCAAACTCTTTTCCAAAGTGGCTGAACCATTTTTCATTCCTACCAGCAATGGATAAGAGTTCCAGTTCATCACATCCCGGCCAACACTTGCTGTTGTCTGTCTATTGATTGTAGCTATCTGATGAGTGTATAGTGGTAACTCACTGTGATGTGAAATAGGTTTTTGTTCAGGTCTTCTCACAGCCTTTAATATAGCAATGTGCATTATGAATCTCTGAAAGAGAATGGTGAATAGAGTATGCAATGTTTCCTAAACTTATTTGCTCCTGGAATTCTTTTTTCCCCTTACATGAGCATATTCAAGGCCTAATGGTCTACAGAACACATTTTGGGAAGCATTATATTATTTGATTATAATATTATTTTTAGCTTTGTTCTCTGTGATATTTAATTATGAGCAAGTGTTTATCACACAATGATTTTGAATCAAATAGCATGGACTCAGAGGTTAATAGACTGTAAGAGTTAAAGGAGGATGCTTAAGAGATTGGCGCTGGGACTTTTATGAGAGGTGGTGGTGATCACGAATACCTAAATGTCAGTTTGTTTTTCTCTGTACTTGGTTCCCCAGCCCAGCCCAGATGGGCCCTAAATTTCAAGAGGAGCTAGGCTGGGCTAAAGCTGAGATCCTGCCTACATTTTAATTGTCAATACTCAGTCAGATAATCATAATGACAACAACCATGAAAATAAGGTCACATTTATACGGATCACACCTGTGCCAGGCACTGTGCTAAGCACTCTCTGTGGACTATCTCACCGAATCCACACAATGATCCTATGATGTAGGCACTATTATGACAACCATTTTACAGATAAGAAAACTGAGGCTCAGGGTGACCAGTAGCTTGCACACAGGTAATAGGAAGCGGCCAAGTCAGGATTTGAATCTGGGCTCTGACACCAGAGTTTGCTCTTGAACCACTCTGCTGTATATCCTACCACCACACCGGAAGGGCAGATCAGCCTGAAAAAAGATTTTTGTCTTCATTGCATAGCACCTGTAGGATGCTGGAAAGATTTTCAGTCCAGAATTTGCCTCCCTAGAGTCATCGTTGTCCCAGTCACCCCTGCCTTTTCCCTCTCACCTGACAGGTATGCACCGCTTATTCTCCCTTGGGAGTCCTCCTGTGTGCACCCTTTTCTCCCAGTTCCATGGCCACCACCTTTGTCCAGGCCTAACCTCACACACACACACACACACACACACACACACACACACACACAGAGACACGCACATGCATTCGAAAACTTCTACCTAGCTTCATTGTCTGTCGGTTTTCTCTAAAAAACCAGGACGCCTATCCCCGCTAGGGAGATCTTTCCAGATCCCTGCTCTGCGTCACACACTGCTCACTTTAACAACGTTCATGGCTCCCCTGCTCCAAGAAAAATTCCCAGTGCCTGAGCGGGGCATTCAAACTGAGCTATTTACTTTCCCATTGTATCTCCCATAAATTCCCCTTCTCGGATCATCTGCTGTAGGCAGATGCTTCATTGCTGCCCAAACAAGCAAAGCCATCCCTGCCTCCATGCCTTTGCTTCTCCTTGTTCTCCAGCCTGCATTGTTTGCTTCTCTGAGCTCTTTCCTGCCCTTGGAATTCCCCCGACCCCTAGGATGCTATTTCAGCGGGTCCCAGCCCGTAGTGACCCTTCTCTCCTCTGAACCCGCTGGGAGAACCCACTGTCTGTGACCCTGGGTCATCTATCTAACCTCTTCAGCATCAGTCTTCTTTACTGTAAAATGGGTGTAACAGTCCCTGCCACATAGGGTCGTGGTCCAGGTTAAAAGACGTAAAGCACATGACGAACTTAGCATAGTACCTGGCACAAAGCCACAAGGTGAGTATTCAATAAATGAGAAAGAATATTGTTAATAATTCAAATTGCCATTTTTATTACCACATGATGCTTTGTGTTGCTTTACTCTGACTCTCTCATGAGGGGTAGACCTCTTAAGAATGGGGGTCAAGTCATGTCATATCTATTACAATGCTTTAAGCACAAACGATCCTGGGGAATGTGTGTTGAGGATGGGCGAACAAACTTGACCCTAGGAGTCAGAAGCCTGATGTCAGTCTTAGCTTTGCGCGCAACTCAATGTGTGATCTTGACTTGTTTTCTTGGAGTCCCAGTCTCCTCCACTGTATGTCATCCCTCACATTCTCTTTGAACCTGGCTTCAAATGCAAGCCCTGATATTGGATCTCTATGTTAATTTGGGCACATTCTCGAATCCTCTTAGTCCTCAGGTTTCTTCATCTGTGAAACAGGGAGAATAATTTTGCTCCACTGTTGGCTATGAGGATAAATGAGGGATTGCTTATAAAACGCTCACTTAGTACTCAGTTCATAGTTGTTCTTCTGGTTGCTTCATTATTGCTGTTTAGTTGATAACACTAGGAGTGTCAACGTTGTTGAATGCATTAGTTTTCTGGGGCTGCCAAACAAGGAGGGAAAAAACCCAAAACTTGACAGTGAAGCCTTCTTTCTGCACGGCACCTGCCATTCACAGCAGTTCATTTAACTGGATCAGGTGAGTGGAGTCAGTTTTGACGAAGATCTGCTTCTTTCCACAAAGCAGGTCCCAGGACCTTTGCCCCGAGTGGTATTTCCCATATGTGCTTTTGGAATCGCAAATCTATCATTTTTGGTTCACGACATTTTTGCAGAGCCCCCAGGATGCAAATAACACACCAGATCTCCAGCCGTTGGCATTCTTTCTTTGTTTTTTATAGCACTCTGCAAAACTCTCATGCTGTTTACATGTGATTTATATTCCTCCTGTGGTCCCTAAATGAATATAATAAAAACAGATTTAGAATATGAATCTGACATGGTTTAGGCCAGCATGGTCTAATACAAATTCATTTACTGGGGAAAAGAGTAAAGTGAAAATCAGTTCTTAGTAAATATTTCTTGCCGGCTCTTAAGGTATTGTCTCTCAAAGTGCAGTCTGCTGGATTCCTTGAGGTGTTTGTGAAAAATGCAGTTTTCTAGGCCCCACCCCCACTCAGTAGGTTCAGAGTCTTTGGGGGAGGGGTCCCGGGATTTGCATTTCTTATGAGCCCCCTATGCCCCAAGGGATTCTGGCCCACCCTGTGTTTGAGAACCACTGATCCCTGGCATTCCCCCAAAGAAATACATGTGTTGTTTGAATCAAACGAGTTCCAGAGCTGGAGTCTGTCCAGGGCTGAGGGTGAGGAGAGCCAGGCAGGCAGGTGTGGGGCGGAGGACCCAGGGGTGCGCTGTGGCAGGGAGAGGAGTCCAGCTGCCATGCAGAGAGCATGGTGTTCAGTCCATTGTGAAGTGATGTCTGCTGAGCTTGGTGAAAGGACAGTGTGGATTCAAGTGCGACAGGGAGGCTCGTAAGGGTTGATGGTGTATGTACTTATTGGTAGGTGGGTTGAGCTGGGGAGTGGTTTTCTGGCAGCTCCAATAAGAGATCCGAGCATCCATCTGTGTCCAAGGGTCTGGCAGTGGGGGAGAGTTGGGGTAGGGTAAGGGGTGTGGGAGGGGCCTGGCCTCCACCCCTGAGGGGCTGCTCAAAGCCACTTGGGGAGCTATATGAGAACTCAGATTTCTGAGCTTGAACAGCCCTTCTGCATGCTCTGCAGATCTGCGTTTCCAAATCTCCCCAGGTGATCTAAAGTGGCAGTCCCTCAGAAAAGCACTTGAGAAGCACGGGGACCACGCCAAAGGCTGACTTTGGGATCAGTGGACCTGGCTTTGAGTCCTAGCTATGTGACCTTGATCTATCCCCATCTGAACCACAGTTTCTTTATTTGTAAGTCAAAGATACAAATACTTTTTTCTTCTTCTTTTGATCGTTGTGACAATTAGGGATAAGGGATGTGACACACAGCACAGTTACTGGCGCACAGTAGGCATCGTTAAATGGTGGCTCCAGACCTTGTGAGAATTGAGATTCTAGGAAGGTAATTAGGGCAGGTGTGCTGGTCTGTTGGGCATAGGAATCAACCCATGGACCCAGTGATTGGAACTGGGATATAGGGTAGGGTCTTAGCTCTGACGATACTGGGTCCTGATTTCCAGAATCGGAACTAAAAAAAGAAGAGCAACAATAATGTCCAGGCTTAAATAGTGTTTACCATGCGGGTCTGGCACTGTTCTAAGCACTTTTGCACACCCTTATGAGTTAAGTGCTATTGTTATCACCATTTTACAGATGAGAAAATTGAGGCTTAGAAAGACATGTGAATGGTCACACAGATATTATGTCGCAGAAGCAAGTTTTAGACCTAAGCTCTCTGGCTCTGGGTCTTCAGCAACTTTCCTGCCTATTTAAGCCAAGCACAAGGTCAGAGTGGCCCTCGAACCACAATGCTGAGTCTCGAAAGTGAGCTGGGAAAAATGGTCCTGGATATTTTTTTTGCTCCACATTTCTAGATGTTAATTGTACAGCCACTTCATAACAAAGTTAGAAAAGCTGGCATTTTCATAATAGAAGCTGAGCTGTAATAAACCCGCAATGTTGCCAAAGGCTTGATAAATTCTAACAGAAAATCCATAACACAAAATTGTTTTGTATTGAAAATGCCTTGCCTACTTTATATTTCTTTCTTGGGTAAGATTTGACCCCTTTCACGAGTTAATCAGCATTTCAAAGGGCCTCTCTGACCACTGTTCTTTCTCTCCTTATATCTTTGTCTCACTGATTCAAGCCTCATTTATTTGATATGAATCCAAATGTCTAATCAAGATTTCCTCCACCTTATACATGAAGCACTGGCATTAGTTTATTTGTCTAATTCTGAGAATATTTTGTCAGAATTTCTGCATTTCATAACACTCCTCTCTCCCTTCTCTGTACTGCCAGGGCATAACCTTCAGTAGCAGAACAAATCAGGCCAGCCAGCACGCTGCCAAGTCCTGCAGGCTCCTTGTCAAGGAAACCAGCTGGACCCATTTCTAATCAACATCTCCCAGCATAACACCTCTGGGTCATTGAAGGAGACCAGACCAGAATTTCAAGCTTTCCAAAGACTTCTACTAGACATCGAATGCAAAAGGATATTTAGGTTGCGTTTGCACAGATCTGCTCTATTTCAGAGACAAGGGGTGGGAATACAGGTCTCACTTTCACCCAAGAAGTCACAAGAACATATTCTACATTAAAAGCTCTGCACATATAATGGATGATGGTTACCGAAACAGCCCAAACCTCTACCATGGTGCGAGAGATATAGCTCGAGAGGCCAACAGGCAGTCCCGGAACCAAGGAATGGATGACTACAAATATCAAGATAACTATGAGGGCTATGCTCCCAATGATGGCTATTACCGCGGCAGTGAGTCCAACCCAGAAGAGGACGCACAGAGTGATGTTACAGAAGGCCATGATGAAGAGGATGAAATCTATGAGGGCGAGTACCAGGGGATCCCTCACCCGGATGACGTCAAGGCCAAGCAGACCAAGATGGCACCCTCCAGGGCAGACGGCCTTCGGGGCCGGGCAGACATAATGGCTGAGAGGCTGGAAGATGAGGAGCAGCTGGCCCACCAGTATGAGACCATCATTGACGAGTGCGGCCACGGGCGCTTCCAGTGGACCCTCTTTTTCGTCTTGGGTTTGGCCTTGATGGCAGATGGGGTGGAGGTGTTTGTGGTGAGTTTTGTCCTGCCCAGTGCAGAGAAGGATATGTGTCTGTCCAGTTCCAAGAAAGGAATGCTTGGTAAGTAGAAATTTCCAAAGATCATTCTCTTCATGGCATTAAAATATGAAGGGGAAAGAGTAGTAAAATTGGTATAGCACCTTAAATCTATCATGATGTCTTTGCAAAGTTATCATTTTACACCCATTTTGCCATTAAGGTAATTTTATCTCAGAGAAATTAATTAATTGGCTCAAGTTTACACAGCTGGTATGTATTGGAGCTTGGATTCCTATCCAGGTCTGTCTGACTCTCAAGCTCTTTGTTCTTTTTCCAAATCTTGTTGTGTCCTTTAGAGTCCGATTTCTCTCTTCTTGTTAAGCCATCTTCCATATCCAAATGACAAATACGTTTTGGGAGTAGCAGGCCAGAGGTCTCTTCCACTCAGTCCTTCTCTTTGTGTCCTTCTAGAATCTGACGGCATCTGCTCTTGGTTTCTCTTGTATATAAGTGTTAGTGGGCTGAATGCCCATGTACCTTGGGGATGGATGCTGGGCTGAGCACACCTGTGGAGCCCCCGCAGGCTGTTGGGAACCACGCTGTGAAGCACAGATGGATTCCGCAGGATGGAGGACCAGCTTTGCAAATCAGTGATGAGACTAGCACCATCAGAGCCGAGAATCAGATATCAGGGCATGAGGCAGAAAGGATTTTGTGAAATTAAAGAGAGGATGGGCACGAATGGTGTGGTGTAGATGAGATTCATCATAATGTAGACAAGGGTTTGTCTTGGTCATTAAATGTCCTGTAAAACATATCCATTCTCTAAATTTAGAGTCCATGCAATTGATTGTTTAGCAAACATACAGTTACTAAGAACTTACTATGAGTCAGGAACTTGAGGAACCCTTAAGAACTCAAAATCTATCTAGCAACTTAGTTCATTCATTCAACAAATATTTATTACTTGTACACTGTGTGCTAGTCTCTGTGCTCAGCACTTGGGGAGAAAATATTGAACTAGACAGGCATAGTCCTTGCCTTTCAAAGAACTTACATACAGCAGGACAACAGGCATTAACAAACATGGAGAATTATTTAATTACTGTAGAGATAAGTGCCATGAAATACCTTGTCTGATTCTGGTCCCTGTCATTTGCTTTAAAGCGGGGGTTGGCAAACATTTTCTGTAAAGGCCCAGATAGTTTCTGTCACCACTACTCAACTCTGCCTCTGTAGCACAAAAGCAGCCAATGACAACATGTAAACAAATGGGTATGACTGTGTTCCAATAAAACTTTATCTACAAAACAAGGCAGGGGGCTGGATTTAGCCAATGGGCTGTAGTTTGCTGGCCCCTGATTTAGAGCCGCTATAAATAAGATTGAGATATAAAATAAACATCTGCATAAAGAATTGTTTCTGGGGGCTTTTAAAAATTGTTTTATCTTTTCCTATTTAACTAAATGGCCATTTAAAATAACTGAACTGTGTCAGATATGACCATTAGGGAACCAAAAGAGACTGAGTATATACAGGCAGGAGAAATAACTTGAGAAACAAGGTTATCACCCAGAGTTTCTAAACACCAGCAGAATTTTACTTGTTTTTTTAAAAACTATTTTTATTATTTTTTTAATTAAAATATTCTGCTAGATGCCTTTAAGTTTGAATAGATTTTTTTTTTTTTTGGTGAAGAGGATTAGCCCTGAGCTAACATCTGTTGCCAATGCTCCTCTTTTTGCTGAGGAAGATGGGCCCTGGGCTAACATCTGTGCCCTTCTTCCTCTACTTTATATGTGGGATGCTGGCACAGCATGGCTTGATAAGTAGTGCATAGGTCCATGCCCGGGATCTGAACCTGTGAAACCTGGGCTGCCGAAGTGGAGCATGCGAACTTAACCACTACACCACCAGGCCGGTCTCTGAATAGATTTTTTTAAAAGGGCAAAACCCAAACCAAACCAAAACACACCCAAAACCCCAGATCAAACCCAGCTGTCCCCAGTTGATCCAAACATTTCTAAGGCGTTAATTTATTTTGTGGTATCTCAGCTGAAAAAACCCTGGGTGCCTGTTAGCCCAAATAGGCAATGTCAGTAACGATTTCACACCTCCCTGGTCTCTCTGCCACCCTGGTGCCTCATGAACAGAGCTGCAGCATGGTGGCAGCTCCTGCTGGCTCCCAGGGCAAATGCTGGGAGTGGAGGGGACATGGTCCTAGTCTGGAGAGCCCACATTTGTGCAATGTTGCTTTCGGTGTTTGCCAAGAAGATGCTATGACTGAGCCCAAGAGGGGCAGGCAGAGTACCTGAGCAGAGATGGACTTCCTATACATTTGTGTGGTCCCCTTTGTGGTCAAGGAAATGAATGTCTAAGTGGATCTGGGGAGGTGGATGATTGAAGGGTCTTCCTGGGCCAGCATTTCCACCTGCTGTCTCATCTGACCTTCACAGTCACCATGGTGGTTAGAGGATTTTTATCCCATTTGTACGTCTCAGGAAACAGACTCAGAGGGCTGTATCTAAGGTCACACAGTAATTGCTGGAGCTGGGATTTCAACCCAGTTCTGTCTGATTTCAAAGTCTGCGCTCCTTGTGCTGTTACACCAAACTGCCTTTCTCTCATACATAGTCTTTGGAAAAGAGGTCATGCCATGGGGCAGGCCTTCTCTCTGTGTCATTAAGCACCCCATAGATTGCTTAGAGCACCATAGATTGCTTCCAACAGAGAGCCAGCATGGTGTGGGAAATAACGGTGTGGGCACTGGAGTCTGGCTGCTAAGGTTTGGAAACTGGCTATGTAATTTATCAGCTAGCGACCTTGGCCAAATCATAACTTCTCTAATTCTCAGTTTTCCCCTATGTGGAATAAGGGGAATAATACATTTGTCGTGAGGACTAGGTGAGATAAAGCTGGTAAAGCAACCAGCACTCCATGCCTGCTAAACAAGTGTTAGTTCTTATTACCTTGTATTGTGACATTCTCCCTTGGAGCATTCGCAGTGAATTACAGCTGCAGCGAGATAATGCAGCAGCATGGATGCTGGAGTCAGGTTGCCTGGGCTTGAATCCTTGCTCTGCCAATTCTTAGTAGGATGACTTTGGGAAAGTCGCTTAGCTTCTCTTGCTTAGCCTTCGTTTCCTTCTCTGCAAAATGGAGATGCTAATGGTATCTACTTCATAGGGTTTTTGTGAGGATTAAATGAGTTTAAAGCATTTAACTTGCCTACAATGGTGCCTATACATAACAGGTGCTCAAGATATCTTGGTTGTTATTATTGTTGAAGTTGTTATTATTATTAAACTGGTTGCTTGATAATGATGAGCCAACCAAGTTCAGGACTAGATTTTCTCAGGTGACATTGCACATTTCTTTCACTCCAAATTATTTATTGTAGGCTTTTAAGGTCAAGCTACACTACCTTGCCTGGTGAAAAGTTCTTTTCTGTTCAGGTGCTAAACCAGTTCTTTCTTTCTTTCCCCTTCCTCTGTGTGTGTGTGTTTTAAGAATTAATTTTTTAGAGCAGTTTTAGGTTCACAGCTAAACTGAGGGGAAGGGACAGAGAGTTCCCATATGTCCTTGCCCCCACACTTGCATGGCCTCCCCCTTATCAACAACCCCCACCAGAGCAGCATGTTTGTTACAATCAATGAACCTACATTGACACATCATTATCGCCCAAAGTCCATACTTCACTTGTACTTTAGTGTTCACTCTTGGTGTGATACATTCAGTGGGTTATGACAAATGTATAATAACATGTATCCATCATTATAATATCATACAGAGTATTTTCACTGCCCTTAAAATCCTCTGTGCTCTGTGTATTCATCCCTATCCCGTACTCCAATCCCTGGAAATCACTGATTTTTTTACTGTCTCCATAAAGTTTTGCCTTTTCCAGAATGTCATATAATTGGACTCATACAGTATGTAGCCTTTCCAATTGGCTTCTTTCACTTAGTAATATGCATTTAAGTTTCCTCCATGTCTTTTCATGGTTTGATAGCTCATGTCTTTTTAGAGCTGAATAATATTCCATTGTCTGGATGTACCATAGTTTATTTATCCAGTCACCTACTGAAAGACATCTTGGTTGCTTCCAAGTTTTGGCAATTATGAATAAAGCTGCTGTAAACATCTGTGTGCAGGTTTTTATGTGGACATAAGTTTTCAACCTCTTTGGGTAAATATCAAAGAGTGCAATTGCTGGATTGTATGGTAGGAATAAGTTTTGTTTGTAAGAAACTGCCAAACTGTCTTCTAAAATGCTGTGCCGTTTTGCATGCCCAGCAGCAATAAATGAAAATTCCTGTTGCTCCACACCCTCTCCAACATTGCTGGTGTAGGTGTTCGGGGATTTTGGCCATTCTAATAGGTGTGTAGTGGTATCTCATTGTTGTTTAATTTGCATTGCCTGGAGGACATATGATGTGGAGCATCTTTTCATACGCTTATTTGCCATCTGTATATCTTCTTTGGTGAGGCATCTGTTAAGGTTTTTGGCCTATTTTTTTTTAATGAGGTTATTTGTTTTCTTATTGAGTTTGAAGAGTTCTTTGTATGTTTTAGATAACAGTCCTTTATCAGATGTGTCTTTTGCAAATTTTTCTCCTGGTTTGTGACCTGTCTTCTCATTTTCTTGACTCTCCTTTATTTTAAAGAGACTGAAAGTGATGCCTCTAGACTTGAGTCCTAGCAGATGTTCCAGGAAAAGAGTTCAGAAAGAGAACTCCCTCGACCCCCAAATTCAGGCCTCAAATCATAGAATATTTTATTTTCTTCCTGGAATTGCATGAATCAGTTCAGAAAATAAAAGAAGTGTCCCTAGGCCAGGTAACAAAAATATCTGCGTGCTGCTGTGCGGCTTTCACGAGCTTTTAGAAAGATGAAAGTTTGCTTCCTTCAAGGGTTGTGCTTTAGTGGGTCGCTTGTCTAGAACTGTCTCACTTTGGGGAAAAAAAGGTCTATGAAAATGTTAGCGGCAAAGGCTCAGTCCTGCTTAATATGAAGTGGTCAGTCCCCTTCAAGACAAGGGGAATGCGTTCATTTGTTCATTAAGCTCTTCATTCTTTATT